CCAAGCTTTATAGTTCTACCAGCCACAGATACTAGTTCCAATAGGAATAAGCAGATAATCAAGATCATGGGTTTAGTGAGAGTATGCTAAACAAATCCAGAAACAGTTCATAAGAGTGAGCACAACACAATAATATATGCAATTTATGTCCATGAGCCAAATAATTTACAAGAACCTATGTGCATCCTCTATTCAATGTAACTGGGTAAGCCGATACACACGCACACAAAGATTCAGAGATAGATCTTTGTAAACACTGCATTTGTATAAGTTCAATATCTCTCTACATAACAAAGAACATCAACAATGAGGCGAATCAAATCTCGTACAGTTAACAGATTCTAGTAATGCCATGGCATAATCATCTTTTAGAATCGAAGCAAGCAAAAAGGGATTGAGTGGTTAGTTTCTAGTTCTACCGATTGTTAAACGAAATCGTCTCGTTTTCTTGATACATTGACAAAGAAAAGAAAGAAAATCTCTCAGCTAGGCATTTCAACAAACACATTATGGACGTAAACTAAAAACCCAGAAAGAAAGTAAAAAAAATTTCTTGAAATTACTAACCTCCAACACCGAAATTGAAAATCATGAAAGCTCGCCAACCAATTTTCGCCACTTTTGGAATGGATTTCGGTGGAGGTATGGGAGATGGGTCCATTGATTCCGATGGAAAATTATCGCGACTTGGATCTTCCCTAATACACAGCTTCTCGAGAAAAGAAAAGAAAATCTAGGTTTCAAACCCTAATTTGATGAAACCACACGATTCTTCTACTTGTGATTTGATTTCGCATCTTTGCCTTATTCGTCAAGCAATTTTTGATTCTCTGTTTACTTTTTTTTTCTTTTTTGGGGAAAAAAAAGTTCTTCGCTTTGATCTTCTCTGAGAGAGACTGACTGCTTTTGACGGTATTGTTTGCGGTTGGGTCTTGAAAGTCTCTAACTCGTCAAGAGGCTCCTTAAAGCCCAAAATGACAAAATTAAGTAAATATTGCATATTTGTAATCGTATAGTTTTGTGGTCAGTAATTTATGACTGTTTATGTTCGAATGGTATTATCAAAAAAGATTGTTTCGTCAAGGGCTTTATTAGATTGAGTATAATAACATGATTTTGAAATTAATCAAAAGTACAGTTTATAAAATCAAAATAAAAATGTAATGCTAAAACTTTTTTGTTATGCTAAAATGTTAAAACAGTAATGTTATGATTTTGTTATTAACGATTTTCGCTTCTAAAATGTATTTTCACACACGGTTTAGAACATCACTCGAATCCCATAATGTTATCACAAGCTCAATGCAACTCCAATTTTGTAGCCGTTTTGGTTTGGCCTTTGGCTTGAGAGAGGAAGATTAATTTGGTTCAAGCCTATGTTCAGTGCAATGCTAACTAAAACGAAAACGCATATAGAGTTAGGTTTGATTCGGTTAACATCTAAGTTCGAACGAAACAGGCATTTTAATAGTCTGACGAAACATGATCAAGAACCAAGACCATGTACCCCTAAACGATTTGGAAAGGTCCTAAAAAGCTACCAACATCTCAAAAGACAAACCAGCCTTTCAAAAACCAAGGTTCCTCACTAAATCGACAACTAAACCGGATTAGTTTTTACCATAGGCGATAGATAGATAGATAGACAATGGTATTTATTTCTTTGCTCTCAACTCTCAAGGCTTGGCGGCACATGTCATAACATGCGACTTGAACTTCTCCAATTCTGTCAGGACTTCCTCTTCTGGTCTGTAAATCAAGTCACTCATCCGCCATATCTGCCAAAGAAGAAGAAAGTATGAACAACATATTACCTTGTATCGACAAAATTGCTCATCGAGGTAACAAGAAATTGTTTATAGGTTACCTGCAATGTTCCACCTCCACCAGTAGTCTCACAGTCATCAGACACACTGACAATAGTCCAAGGGTCCGACGCATTCCAGTGGAAATCAACAACTTTGTCCCTAAGAGAGTATATAGATAAGAAAACTTAGAAGCAAGTATCTGAGAAAGCGATAAAGAGATTTAGAATTAAGTCTTCACGAACCTGTGACCAGCGTGCTGGAAGAAGAGCCCAGCGGGACTTTTAGCTGCGCGATCAGACTTCTTACTGACCTGATAGATTATTAAACAAACCAAACACGAGCACAATGAATAAAACTCAGTGATATATTAAAGAAAGATTAATTTCAGACAGATCTACACACCCTTTCATAATCCCAGATGTTCAAAAGACCATCTTCTGCGGAACTCCCAAAAACAGATGACTTATCAGGAGACCACTGAAACGATTAACAAGATGGTATCAGTGGGTTAAGAGACATACATCATATGTAGAAGGATAAAAGTAAAGCGTTTGTTGAAACCTGAACACAAAGAACAGCAGCTTTGTGGCCCTCAAATTTGTAAATAGGCGTACCAATTCCATTTGAGGTAAGGTTCCTACGATCATACAACCGGACAGTGTTGTCTGCTGACCTGAAACATTCAAATATATCTAATGAGCACATGTATCCATATTTCTAACAGTTTTCTTGATTAGATACTATGTGTGCCTTAATCATCTGTCTGTGGCACATGTAAATCTATTTCCCCATACCCTGTCAGGATCAGATTGTCGTCATGAGGATTCCAATCGACACAATGAAGATCAGCATCGTGCGCCTTTTCAACCTAATAACCACAAAAACAAGATAAAAGATAATTGAACGTAAAGCTTCAAAATCTTGATAGGATCAAGAACATACAGTACCTTCGTGACAGGGCTAGTGCCAGTTCTTGCATCCCATAGTATAAGGCAAGAATCGTCACCAACACTACAGAATTCTTGTGCACTTCACAACATAAAAATTCCCCAAAAGCATCAGAAAATCATGAAAATTACACATTTTGTGTGAAAAACTTCGACATCAGAAGAAGGAGACTGTTCTAAGACGTTACCTAGTTGGGCTGAATGCCACATCTTCAACCGTATCGTCATGGCCATGATATACACCTCGCGGGCCGACCGTAGGACTCTCAGTCTTATCACCACCTTCACCAGTCTGTTTGATGATAGATCCAGATGTTTTGGAATCTGTACCAACCGTGGTGATGTGGTCTTGGATACTCCACAGAACAACTGACTTGTCCTTGCCTGAGAGAACCTTTGTATTATAAACTGGCAAACCACGAGACTTCAATGCTACAAATCACAGAAACACAAACCTCCAGAGAGAACAAAGGGTTCGGTTGGGCACATTGCAAGAGCAAACTCAGCATTATCTTGGTGTCCAGTTAGTATCTGCAAGAAAATGGGTTCAGACGATGAAACAAGTAGCACTATATAACAAGATATCAAGTGATAGGTCACTTCTAATGATGTGATTAAGACAAACAAGAATGAAATGCAAGCATTGATTTGCAACAACATTTCTAAGAATTGGACATACCAAATCTGGGCGGGAACTTGCAGCTCCAAGCACAGCATGACGGTTTGGTTGGGTTTCAACATCCCAAATGAGAACCTGGAAGCAACATATTGCATTCAGATTACTGAAACTGGAAATACATCCAAAACAAAGGATGCTCTTTGACTGCTAAATAAAGCGATATGGAAACAATATATTTTAGGTTACTACAACCATGAAAAGAATATAAAAAGCAACACTTACATCAGGACTGTCGGTGTGAGTAGCAACAATCTTACTGTTTTGTGGGAGTTCCCTAATTCTGTTGACCTGCAAACGTAAATTGTACATGAAGATACACATCCAAACAGGGTTCTATTGTCATCAAAATGCCAAATGAGTAAGTGAAAATTTGATTTATGCAGAATCAAACATGCACAGAAATATCTCTAGAGGGGCGGAATTCACACCTCTCCAGGGTGAATGATGGTCTTGTACTTCTTCACAAAGGGAGAACGTGCTTCTTCATTAAACTGAAAACAAATACAAAAGATTGCAAGCAAGTGTCAACCACAAAAGGTTCGCCTTAGTAAGGCGGGGGCATGATAAGGAAAAAAAAGGCACAGGATTAGTATCAAAACCACTAATTACCTGTGATATGTGCTCTGCTGCAGCAACCCTTGGCTTAACAACTTCGCAATTCGCTATGACCAAGGTATTGGGCACACTGCCATCAGTCTGGTGACACAACCAAGAAAAACACAAATGTGATGAGGAATATACAAATATTTTGCGAATATGAGACAACCTTCTCAACTGTTATAACGACTAAGACCTACTTGTTCTGAGAGGTACAGACGCTGGCGATTCTTGTAGGTCGCTTGTTCAAGCTGAGGACCCCATCTGTTAAAATCAAACAACAATGGAACCTCTTAGCACAGGAACAAAAGACTATCATCAAATACGAATACAACTAAACGTCCAAAAAAAAAAACTGAAACTTTCTCAAAATTGAAAGTAGCCTAAGAAGTAAGAACCACTTGACAACTCTGGATAATTTGGAACCAACAAAGTATAACACAAACAAACCACCAAACCCTTCTTGACCCTTTGTGTTGATTAAAGGTTACAAATGACCCACTATCAAAACAAACTCCAGAGAAGCGTGTAGAATTCATGAATCAAACATCAGATACATCAAGGCTTGAAGACAGAAAGTACATCCAAAACGCTAAACATCAAAACCCTAACTAGAACATTAGAAAAAAAACCCTCACTTTAAACCCAGAAATTGAAAAACAAATGTCTATCTCTCAGCATTTTCCTAAAATCAGAACGCAATTCAATCCACACATCAGAATATTGAAAGCTTCTCACACGAACGAGATACGATTCACCGAAACCCTAAAAGAGACAGGAGGAAAAAAGTCGAGAAGGACCTGCAAGAGAGTGAAGGCCAGACGAGGTTATGGTTCGCGAGCCAGTCGTAGAGAATGGGAACGAGACCTTTCCACTGAGAGTACTTCTCATCGACACTGGGCTGCTGAGTTTTCTTCCCACTTTCCTTCATTTTGCCACCGCTCGGTTGCTGTTGCTGAGACGACGGAGTCTGAGAATCTTCTTTGGTTTTAGGTTTCCGACCTCTCTTCTTCGGCAACGAAGTTCCGGTTCCTCCTCCTCCGCTCGGAGTCGTGGCTGGTGGAGATGCTCCTGCTGCTGCTTCGTCGCTCTCCATTTTCTTCTTTTTCCTTCGTTTTTGTCTTTTTACTGATTTTA